TTGCGTTTTTTTTTTTTTTTTCTTTTTTTTTTTTTTTTAAATCCTGACAAACTGTTTTTGACAACTTATGGGGTTTTTTGGCATTGCTATTCAAAGACATTTCACTAGCCTACTTGCACCGTTCCTTTCTTAAGGTTATCCCTCTTGTTCCTAGGCTGGTCTCTTATTTCCAGTGGGAAAGAGACTCCAAGCCTTGTCAGATTGACGTAGGAGTAAAGCAATGGACTCTGAAGGTCTTCTGAGTGGAAATACTGCTTATGAATTGAGCTAATAAAAGCTGAAGGCAAAACCAAGGAGATTATCTGAAATTTTGAGTGCGTAGAGGATGTGGGTGCAACTTTAGTATTGACAGTTCTAGAGTGTGAAGCCATCTGTTCTTCGCGCTAAAATATTAGTGTGAAACTAACTGCCTATGTATGTACACATGTCCCCTTTAATCAGCTGCAATCTGCCCAGGAAGCCAAGCTGTTGGGTTCTCTTGGATGCTGTGAAGCAAATGAGGAAGCATCCAGCAAAACCTAAGCTAGCAACACTTGCCGGTACAGAAATGCATCCTTAATCCTTGCATCTGACCACTGGTACCTATCTTTCAGCTTCCTGTTCTGTTTGGCTGTCCGAGGCTCAGACCGAATTTAAGAGAGTGGCTGAAGAAAACGTGACTTTGCCCTGTCACCATCGCCTGGGCCTCCTGGAGCAAGGGAGCCTGGATATCGAGTGGCTGCTGCACATTTCGGAAACAGTACAAAAAGCGGTAGGTTCAGCATGATTAGCATCTGCCGAGAAAATTGTCTTATTTCTGTGTTGACATCAGCAGCGACCATTGATTTAAAGAGACTTCTGTGATGATCTTTGCAAGTTATTCTGATGAAGTAAGCAGTGCTGAAAAGACAGCTGATTTGTTTAGAGAGGTTTATAACGTGTAAAAGCTATTTGATATTCACCCATGCTGTATTGGAACAGGTTGTATTACAATTGAGTTTTCTTTAAACTGACGCTATTATGTAATCAGTTATGGTTAGATAAACTTTGGAATTGCCCTTCAGCTTTTCAAAAATTACTTTGGATTTTGTAGGCCGTTTTTGAAACATTAGTTTCAGGAAGAAATATAGATTAATACTTACAAAAACCAGGTCTGCACTAACTTAGCTAGCCAAAACCAGCCGAAATTAAAGACTGCTTTTGTATATTGTGACATAAGCTCATGTCTATGTTGACGCTAGTATAAATACTTCAGTATAAATCTCTAGCATAAATACACTTTATGTACAGTCTCAGACTTGAAATCCAGGTTTAATTTTCTACCCTGCCACAGGCTTCCTGTGTGACCCTCGGTAAGTCACTTAACCATGCAGAACCTTAGTCTGCAGTTTCAAAATGCTTTGATTTGTTGTTCTATGTGAAAGTAAAATTACAACTGGCTGATCAGTGACTGTCTTTGCCCTCAAGGTGATCACTTACTCTGGTGGCCATGTTTATAACGACCTGAATGAGGAACAGAAAGGGCGCGTTTCCTTCACATCCAACTTCCTTGCTGGAGATGCATCCTTACAAATCATATCCCTGCAGTCCAGTGATGCAGGGAAGTACATATGTAAGGTTAAAAACGCTGGGCAGTACGAATGGGCTCGCATCACTCTGAAGGTTGTAGGTAAGGTCAGTTTGTTGTTCTTCCAAAGGAAAAAAAAAAAATCACTAGACTCATTTCCTGGGGAGAGATTTATTTCAGCAGGGTATAAATACAAAGATGTTTCACGATCAGGTTTCACTGTCCAACTCCATATCTGCCTTTGCATTTTTTGGCAAAGGACAGGATGCAGGAAAAGCCTAAATAACTGTTCTGAGGTAAGTATAACCACCTGCAAAATCATATGAACTGTTCTTTCCGAATTATCTCTATGATCTCATCATACAAACTAGACTGATATTCTAGCTTAGCTGGTGGTCACCCTGTCCAGATTTCCTGCTAAGGACTCATGTCCCAGGACCCCAGAGTGATCCAAGTCAGTGAAGGTGACAACTAAGCTGCCAGGATTAGCATTTCTCTTCCCTAATTTTAGTTTATTGGTTGACTTTTTCATGTATGCTGTCATCCCGTGGAAGAAGTGATGTGACCTGCTGGATGCTGTGGGGAGCAGGAAGAAATGGAGAAGTACGGGGAGGGAAAGGATGTTCGAAAACAGTACCTAGAAGAGGAACGTAGTGATACAGCTCCACTGATGCTAGTATCCATGAGGCAAACAGTACTAGAGTATTATAATGTGTCATTTCTAGGTCTGAGCCAGTCAGCTCCACTTCTTAGACTAAGAAGTTGCACACAGTTGTAGCTAACAGGCATCACTGGTGTAATTCCTTAATGCATTCCAGAGAAGGCAGATCTTGGAAGCTGCTTAAATTACATACTTTTGCCAAAAAAAGGGGTTTTCCACCAAGAAAATAATCTGCTGTGTTTGCACGACCTGTCTTCTGTTTTTTTTTCTAGAAAAACCTTCCAAGCCCAAATGCTGGCTAGAAGGGGAGCTGCTGGAAGGAAAGGAACTGTCCTTGCAGTGCCGTTCCGCCTCTGGCACTGCACCCATCTCCTACCGATGGCAGCGCATAAGCGAGGAAGATGAGAGAGCTGAACATCTCCCGCCTACATCAAGAGTCAGTAAGTCAGGTCGTTTCCTCTCGGAGCTCTCGGGACACTCAAAGCCAGATAACCGCCCACACGTACATGCCCATGTGCAGTCATGTGCCCGCTTTCTAAATGGAGATCGCTTGGCCGCAGTGATAGCAACGACGTAATAGTGCCTCTCGCTACTGCAGCTGGGCCTTGGGCTGGGCTCTACTCTGAAAAAGGAGTATGAAGTGTTTTAAGTGCATGAGGAGTTTGTTTAGTGTTTTGCTGAAGGCTGACAATGATCTTTTGTGAGGCACCTCGACTGTTCTTGAAGCGATTTGATCTAGAAGTCCAATTTGTGCTTCTGTGTCCTATCCACTGTTAAGGTTTCTTAGTCTTTTTTGATTAATCCCAGCGTTGTTTTTCCCGTTTCAGACATTTCTAATCCCGGGCAAGTCCTACTGAAGAATCTTACGCAGATGAGCACAGGGTTATACCAATGCATTGCTACCAACGAGGCTGGACAAGAAAGCTGTGTTGTTCAGGTGACAGTGCAGCGTAAGTACTGGCACACAACTGGTATTTGCACCGCCACACGAGCAGCACTGCTTCACAGCTGTCCCATCTGGACTGGTAAACTCTGTGCTACACCTTTGTCCTTTCATACTTGAATCACATGAAGTAGTTCTTATTTGTTGCACTTACAGTTAGCACAGCAGTCCTCTGTATAACCTAAAAAGATAAATACATCATTTGGGCTCAGATGTTTTGGTCTGTTAGATGTTTTGGTTTTCAGAACAACTAATGAAATACAAGGGGAAAAATGGTGAGTTGAAGGTTCCAGAGTGTCCAGCTTTAAAGGCACTTCTGGCTGGAGTGATTGCATGAAATTACTCTCAAGTGAAAAACCTCTGTGTGGATAGTCCATCATTCCAATTCTAAATTATCTGTTGCACTGGAGACAGTAAACAATCTAAAGGCAGCTGGAAAGGCTGACTTTGCCATGAAGTAATGTGCAGAATAAAAAGCAACTTTTGACACAATTTGATTTTAATCCAGATTTAATAAATTCTGTCCTGAACATCAGAGGTTAAAATCAATGTCCTCCCTGATTAACCCCATCAAGGGTGTGTGCATGTCTCCTATCTGTGTCTTTGCATATGCATGCAAGGAAAAGGGTGGTGTTCAGCACCACACTGAAGACAAATCCAAACAATACAGTTTAGAAGGTTTTTATGTGCAGCTCTCAGAGGATATCAGCAGGGGCTGGATCTGCTGTGCTAAAAGGCTGCTAATAGCAGAAGTCTGTTCTGTAGAGATTCCATAGCTTTGGAATTTTTCTGCCCAGCCAGGCCTGAAATAACTGGAATGTGGTCATGTAGCAAAACCTGTTCGCCTCAGGCATCTGAAGTAAAAGCTCCAGGCAGCTTTTATGCCACTTGAACTGAATTGGGTTAAAACCTCACTTTGGTTTGCTAAACCCTCCGTAGGGACGAGCCTTAAGGAAACAACTTTCAGTCAAACCCAACCTAACCAGTCTTATCAAAAGGAGTTGTCATAAAGTTATCAACTAATGGCCTATACACACTAGGAAGTGTTCTCTCGTTAACTTTATTATTTTGGATGAAAAATACCTGCACCTGCACATTATGGTCTTCCCTTTCTCCTCCCTCAGGTCACGTTTTTCCCCAATTGAATAATTCATTCTGCAAGTGGATTGTAATCATTTCAGGGCGAGTTGAAGGGGAAAAAAGTTCTCATGGGGAAACATTCGTAGTTCAAACACTCTTCTGCTTCTGGGAAACTGCTTGGTACTTTGTTTTGCATGCAGGTGGTCCTGTCCATCTCTGTACTTGGTGGTTCTGTGCTCTTACGAGTGGATTTTTCTTTGTTTCAATCCTGACCCATAGCTGAAGGCATAGCACTTGTGATCCCACCCTTCCAGAGGTGAATGCTTTTCTCACTGTTAGCTCAGATTTAGAAACAATGCCTGAAGATAAACTGGTTCAGCTTCTGTGTGGAGACAGGCCTAAATAAGCAGACTAATACGTTCTGTTCTGATTTATACCCAAAGCTGTAAGTTGCAGTGTGGACTGGAACCCGACCATATGACCCTAGAGAGAGGTTACGAACTAACATCTTTATTTTCTGGACAACAGATGCACAAAATGTCGGCATGATTGCTGGAGCGGTTTGTGGCGTGGTGGTGGGGCTTTCCCTCCTTTTCCTGGTGGTGAGGCTGACCATAAGGAGGAAAGAAAAGAAGAGATATGAGGAAGAGGAGGCACCAAATGAAATCAGGTAACGCCTTTTATTTAATCCCCCACCTCTCCGGCTCTCCCTTCTTTCAGTTTCACACATCTTTTCACTATAAAGAAACCTAGGTGTGTCTTAAAAGGTTGTTAAAGTTTCCCTGAAATAGCAGTGACAAATTTCTTGACTATGAGAATCTTTGTGAAGACTTTGCAGAAAATTAGATGGTCTTCCCCGTCCCCTGCCAGAACAAATTAGCATAAAACTCAACAAAATACTCTCTCTCACACTTGCAGTTTCAGCATTTTAAAGCATTTGCATAATCCTCTCCAGTACTAAATGCAACTCCTCTGTCCATTGTGGTTCTGAGAGATTTGGGTTTGGTTTTTTTCCTTTCAATTGCAATTTCTGTTGGGAATGCTATGAGGCAGGCAGGTTCTCACAGTCTTCCTTGAGTCTTTTGAACAACTGTGCTTCTGGATTTAGCTCAGGGTGAAAAATCCCCTGCGCTGCTGCGTGCAGAGCTGAGAAGGCTCGCCCTGAGCGGCTGTACCAAGAATGCTGACGCATGTTCTTTGAACTCATCTCTTACACACATGTGAGCTCTGCTCTTAACTCCCCTAAGCAGAGACTGATCTCTAGCCAATCGAGCCGAAATTTCTCAGGAAGGAAAGTGCTGGAAAAAGGTATTTCCAGGAATGAGTTTTAGCTGCTCCTGCCCTTGAAGAAAGCCCTTGCCTTGTTCCAGCCTTATGTCTGTTTGTAAAAGACTGCCTGCCCTCCCAACAACATCTATGTACCATTAGGCTTCTCTCTAATCCGTTCAGCAGCGATTACTCTGCCTGATGGTCAGGTTGCCAGCAAGAAGGTAGTCTCCGGTGATTTCTTCCCTTTTTCCTGTTCTCTTTGCTTTCAAATCTTGCTTGCCTTTTTAGTTTGAGCTTCAGTCTCTTGTATCACCTTTTCACGCATGACTGTTACCTCTTCTCTGTCTCTCTGGGTCCAGTTCTTGCACTTCTTTTGCTACCCACGTTGTTTTTTTTTTAACTAGAAGAACCGGTCTCAGCTAGTGGTGTCTACGATGAGTAAGGATTACAGAGCAGACAGTTCTATCTGAACTGTTTGCACTGACACTTTGGCATTTGTTCCACAGACCTCAAAGCCACACACAAAGAGCCAGTCGTGTGCAGCATGTAATCTAGATCCATTTGACCAACAGCTCCACAGAGCAACAGGGAGTTCGGTCCACAAAGTAGTGCAGAATTCAGAAAACCCTCTTCCTTGCTCAAACTGCTGAACAAATGTGCCCTGGTGATTTGCAGCTTCAATAAACAACTGCTTATTGCAGCGGCAATTCAGTCTGACAAAATGTATAAGCATGCCTGTTCTCATGGTATTTGAGCCCTGTCATCTGTTTGATTGCAGAGAAGATGCAGAGGCACCCAAGGCCCATCTCGTCAAGCCCAGTTCCTCTTCCTCTGGTTCCAGGAGCTCACGCTCAGGTTCCTCCTCAACCAGGTCGACAGCCAACAGTGCCTCTCGCAGCCAACGAACTTTGTCAACGGAAGCTACTCCTCATCTAACTCCTCCCCAGTACAGCCAGAGGGAGATGGAAGGAAAAGAAATTGAGCCAAAGAAAGTTGACTACGCTAACCTGATGAAAATGGGAGCGACACTGGTCATGGTGCCTGCCCAAAGCCGAGCTTTCCAGACCGTGTGACTGCTCACCAGCCATCTGGAGACTCCTGCTGTCCAGAAACACTACACATTCCACCAGCCACATAGGAAGTGTTAGATTAGCTAGTTATCTTCCTGGTCAGCTTAATTTTAATCACTTGTGATTATTCACACCACAAGAAGCCCTCCCACTCAACTCTTTCTTACATCTTCCAGCACTGAGGTTCTGATACAGATTTTTTTTTTTTTTTCTTAAGAAAGATACATTTGAGGGAAAAGGGAGCCTTCTTTTTAAACTATCTTTTTTTGGAATGGAACACTAAGCAGTTTAAAACTACAACAGCCAAATGCTGTGCAAAGGAAATGAAGCCAAACCTCAGGATTTTTTAAAAGGGATCAGCAGAGACATAAAGACACATGATATTCCAGAGAGGTTTTGGAGTAGGGAAAAGTCCCTTGTACTGGTTTTAGAGAACTTTCTCAAAAGATGCATTGTCTTATCTGGAGATTTTGATGCAGACTCTCTGCTGAGGGTAGTCTGGTGTTCAACCTCAAAGGGAACTTGACAGACGCTTCACGTTTTCTACATTCAGTCTTCTAGCAAAATACTTTTGGAGGCTGTAACTAAAGTGGAAAAGAAAGGATCACTCAAAAAGGTCGAGATGCAGTATTAAGGCTTGTGTCTGAACTAACCTCTGTACTAAACAGAAAGAACCCTTTAAGTCAAGGAAACCGAGGTGCTTTAATTGCCAGAATAAACTTAACGATGCACCCAGAGAGATATGGCCAGGAGCTTGACTCTGCTCTTACGGCCAGCACTGCGAAGCTGCAGTAACTCCACTGGAGTGGTACCTGTGGCAAATGAGCCTTAGCATGATGAGAATCGTGCACTGGATCCAGAATGAAGGCAGTACCTCAAAAAGTGAGGGCCACTAAACTACCAAAAAGCCTGGGTGAAGCATTTGGAAGATATCTTTGCTATCACCAGGTTGTGAATTCACCAGTTTTGGGGTGAGCCATACTGTAGAAGCCTTATGGAGAGCTCTTAACAAGACTGAACGAACAGCATTCTTGAGCTGACCTTCAGGCATCCAGGTAAGACTGAAGGATAGAGTGACAGGGCGCATAGTGAGGAAAATCCACCAGGGACAGGCAAACAAGCACAATGCTGCTTCCATTAGGAAATATTTGTGTGCAATGTCCAATTTATACACCTAATGCTGGGCCACGTGCTATTGTTGAGGCTTAAACCTTACCATGACTCTTAAAAAATTGCAAGAATCATGAAAATATTTTCTGTGTTTAAATTAGCCAGAATAAGCATTTCCAAGGGAATAAAAAAATCTTACACTTCAAGTTGAAGGCCAATAGGAAATGATGGGAGATAGGGACAGGCTTCCTCTGGAGGCAGATCTGTCATCTATATTTTCCTCTGAAGGACTTGGCTCTGACCACTGCTACACACAAGACACTGAGCTTGTAGGTTCTAGGTTCCTCTATTCCTGGACTGATGATTTTCTATTTAAAAAAAAAAAGAGGTGTGGGTTTTTTTTTGTTTGAAGGAGGGAAGGTTTTCTCCAATTTGTGGAATGAGTCTACAGGAGATGGATCAGCACAGAACCACCACAAATCTATAATTCTTTCACTCCAGGGACCGTAATTAATCTCCTTTTCTGACTGAGACCCAGAATTCTAGCTTCTTTGCTTGAGATCTTGGACAATCTGATCAAAGCCAGGCTCTGCTTGGCCTACTTCCTTATGGGAAACATTTTTCAAACTTGCCCTATACTGAGAACTTCTCTTCCTAGGAGCAGAGCAGTCACTCATTTTCATCACGTGTACCAAAATTTCACTTGCTGTCTGTACCTGAGTCAACCCAGCCACCCTTGGCAGGACGAAGTACTGATCTGTTGTGCAGGGAATACAGCCTTGAGTCACAGATTTAAACAAAGGAGAGATCTGGTATTAGGTGTTTGATAAGCTTCTATTTTTGTGACGGCTCCCGGTGTTGGATACTCTTGCCATTTACCTAGGCAGCTTCCCTGGGTACTCCAGAGGCACGTTCCTGGATCAGCTGTGTTTTGGTGTCTTTGGGTAGTGGCCGTCACCGCTTGGAAGCAGCAGCCATTAAGTGTCTGTGATTCCTCTGCAGTTGCTCTTTTCCTGGACACTGAAGGCTTAGGCACTCCAAAGGGTTTACAAGGTGCTCCAGAGCTCAGAGAGTCCCGAAGATCGTGAGCGGGACTGCTAAAGTAGTTTGTGGCTTCTTCTATTGTTGCTTATTGTGTTTAATGTTACCTGTGTTGCATCTGAGGATACTTACTCTATGCACATAAAAACAGGAGTGCTTTTCTCAGTAAAGAACACATGCCCGAGCAACCAGAGCTTATTACCACAAAATAAGGATAACAATTCAAGCGGCTGAGCTGGCTGCAGTCTGAGTACCTAACGCTGTAGGTTAGCTTTGAGTCACAGGCCAGGCTGGCAATTAGCAGAGAGGAGGATGCTGTGCCTACAGCCTAGAGGCTGTTAGCTGCCAGCTAGGAGAATTTGCCCAGCCTGCTCCTGGCAGTCTCTTTCCTTGGAGGCCTTTGGGAATAGGCTGCAGGACAGACCAGCCGTGGGAGCCCTCTCCTGGTCTCCAGCTCTCCTGGAGCAGAGAAGTCACTCCTTGTCACATGAGCTATCTGTCTGATCCCATGGGATGAAAGGTTTATGCACTTGGGGGAAAGAAGTTAGTTGGAAGCAATTGCTGAAGCCTGGTGCGTGTGATCGTTCTCGACTGTTCCTAGCACCCTTGGGAAGCAGGCAGTACACATGCCCGCTGTCCGGGCACATACAGATTGCCCTGTGCACAAACCATGTCAGAAAAAGCACCGTGGCCATCTCCTGCCACGGAACAAAGATGCAAAGACGTGTGTGGCCCTGGTTACAAAGTGTGGGCACCACAGTGATTTAAAATCACTAAGTCTGAAATGCTGCGGTGCTTTTCAGACCACACTTCAGTGATCTCACAGGTGAACGCAAAGTCAACTCTGCACTTCAGCTGCTAGCAAGAAGCCCACAGGGAAATGTTTGTTACTCAAAGAAAATACGAGAAAGAGATCATTTCAAAGGTCCTCGATTTTCAAAGGGACGTTTTCTGAGCTCTGGATGATAATATCAGGAGTTGCACAAGGGAAGCAAATGAACCACAAGCCAAACTCTGTTTTGTAAAATAGTGTACTTAAAGCATTTACTGTCATATACCAGTTATTACTAGTGTGATTAAATGCATACGATGTTATGTAGCTTTCTTTTGTTTCTCAGCAGCTAAACTAAGCTTACATCTCTTCTACCTGCTATAATTGGTGTACTTGTACTGTGTCTGAACAACTCAGAGGAAAGCAAATATTTATTATTGATTCCTTTGAATCAATGATTTCGTATTTTTTTTTGTTGTTTAGTTGTTTTATAAATAAACTTGCTGCAGCTGAAGTGCTGCAGCTCAACTAAACTTGTACTAACGCTCCCTCTTCTGTGGTATGATGTGTTACATGCTGTCAAGCTGAATCCAAGGAAAAAAAGTAGAGTCAAAAATACCATTTTTAAGCTAACAAGGACTATGTGCATATTTGTGTAGAAAGTGTGGGGAAGCTGGTCTTTTTCCTGGGTATTTTTTCAGTCTAAGTTACGTGATGTGTTATGAAATATGTGAAACCTTGGTGTATTGAAGTAAATGGTGTTTTGACTTCCGTGCAGCTATTTCACCCGAGATATTTTGGCTGAGGATGTAGATGCCTCAAGCTAATACGGTAAATATTGCCAGCAGACACGGCACAGATCAAACCACTGGTGACACTGCCTTCCCAGTCCCATCTCTGCGACCTTCTGAACCAGCTGCTGTGTTTCAGTTCGTCTCCTGAACTGGGCGTGAGATGACACTGATACCTTGAACAACTCCGAGCTGTGTGGAGACAGTTTAGATCTTCTCTGCAGATAAACGTTTTTTGAACTAGCTAACAGGAATCTCCAGTCAGGGAGACGTAGGTAGATTTTAGGGTAACTAAACACCGCTGTGGTTGATTCCTCTCGCAGTGGTTCAGCCTTTTTTCCCTGGGGGTGTTTTGCACGGAGGTCTCCCAGCATCAGCCATCTTTACGGAAATCTGGGAGTAAAAATTGCAACATAATTATACAGTATTTAAAACAAAACACAGTGACAACACAGTGGTCTCATAGGTGTGTCCTGTCTATCCCTGATTCATGAAGCAATGCTGTCACTGGCTCCCTCCTGAGCTCATGACATCCAAAATCCTGATTAGGCGATATAAGTTTTGGGAGGAGTTGTGCAATTGCATACTTTTGTTACAGTATCAGGAGCCTTTGGTTATTTTTAACCTGGATCTGTTTGTATTAACACTCTGAAGGGGGAGAACATGGTGGGAAAGGGAAAAGGACCACTTTGTAAACGTGTGGTTTTCAAACTTCAACCAGGGCATGCAGATGCAAGTGTTGTATAAATAACAAACGCTGCTGTTGTGAATAGGAAGTCAGTTTCTGATCATTTCCCTTCTCTTCCCAGTTCTGTTTTAAACACTTAAGGAAGAAGTGCTTGATCTCTATACTAAATTGGCTTCTAAAGATAATGTTGGAATTCATAATTTAAAAAAAAAAAAAGACACAGAATACTTGTCAGTGTCCAGCCTGCTGGGCCTTTATTGTTCTGATGACAGTAAATGATCTACTTTTGTCCAGCATGTTTAACAGCCTTTAATTTCTGATGTAATGAGTCATTTGCCAAACTGCCCTCCTCCCTGCGCTGACTCACCGTTGGTTTAGGCTGCCTTCACTTACTATCAGTCTGCTGTGCAAAGTACGGTTGCACATCTAAATGCCACTACTTAATTTCAAGGTGCAGGTAGTGCTATTCTTAGGTCTTACTGAAATTCTGCCCAGTATTTAAAAAAAAAAAAAGCAAAGGCAATCCCTCGCTTAAACAGCAGGGCTCCCGTGAGACTTGGTGCGTGATGTATTTGGTGCAAGTTAGTGCTGCAAGCCTGAG